CCATGAAATAGTTTCTGTTTCCACACTTCTTTGAGCTGCTGTGACGCAAAGGTCCCTGCCTGCCTCTAGTCACCACATGGCTTTGCCGCTAATGGTGCACTCGCGTCACTTTGTTCTGTGGGATCTTTTCCTTTCTGATCCAGTTGCGGTTGCCCAGATGTTCATTTCATACAGTTAACTTTGTACAAAGGGCATCCTTTGTTCCAACAAACGTTGTGGTCGTTGTTTTCAGCTGGAAGCCCAGAGCACAGCAGTTCACCTGTTTCCTGTGTAATCCACCATCAATCTACCAACCTTTGTGCTGATTTCATGTAAAATCATTCACTGGGGAGGCAAGGGATAAGGAGAAAAAAATCATACAAAAATGTTTCCTGGTCCCTAGCCTTGGACTGATTAAGGTGGTGCTGCAGGATAAAAAGGCAGTAAGAAATGGGAAAGCTCTTCCATCCTGACCTTTTTGGTGTGTAGTGGAATGGAAAATCACATTAGTATCTTGAAAGTTTTGGCCTGGGTGTCTCAGAAGGTATTAAAGGAGACCTAAACATCTTCTGGACAGAACCCAACTGCCACTCTGCTCCCTTCTCTGTTGCCTTCAAGGCTTCACATCGAGGCAGAGGGGGGGCCCGCCTGTCTCTGTCAGGGTAGGTGACACCGAACTGCTTCCTAATGCACCCAGGGGCCCAGGGATTGCCCTGTTCAGCAGATTCAGAGGGGCAGATCTCAAGGTTATTCTGACTGTAATGTCCCATACAGAGCAGCGCGTCTGCTGTTTGTTCAGCCACGTGGACGTCACATTAACTGTTTAGTTTAACTGAACCTTTAGAGCAGTCCTGAGAACTTAGGTCCTGAGCAGAATAAATTCCATGGAAGGCTTTGAAAGACGATTGTGCGTGTAAATGAAATAAATGCTGTTGCTGAAAGATCTGTGGAAGATGATCGGTGGAAAATTGGACAGGGATGGAGCAGTATATCATGTAAGAAGGGTGTCACTTGGCAATGTATATCTGTGAAGGTTTTTAAATCCCTACCTTGGCCAAAAGAGACCTTCCAAATGACAGGAATCTAGCTATCATGAGCCCAAACATTCCTAGAAAGATGACCCTACAAAATAGTCCGTGCTGCTGGCAGGGATAGCTTTACTGGCAACCCACGTGGCGTTTGAATGGCCAGGCTTAAGGGGAGCTGTGCTCCACAGCCCCCGGCGGGCAAGAGGAGGAGGCCTGGAGAGGAGCTGGCATCAGGCAGTGGATTTTAACATTTCTTTCAGTCCGCCAGCTCTAAGGCTGCCGAGCAACATGTAGACAAGGTTGAGTTTTGGTGTAACGTGCTGATATGATTTGCTCTGGCCTCCTCATAGCTCTCTGGTGCCTGGGCCAGAATATTCAGGACACCCACCATGTTCTTCCTGTGCAGACCTTGGGTGGGGGAACTGCAGGTGCCAGCGTGTGCTCTGTCTGCTCAGCCTGGCGAGGAGCAAAGCAAGGAGGTGAGAAGAGAAAGCCAGGGGTCCTGTCCAATTTTTACTACCAACAGTGGATGGATAAATGGAAATGTACAGGTTTTTGGCTTCAGAACCCAGTGTTCCCTATTCCATTGGTCATTCTGCAACCAGTGAGCCGAGACAGACTGTCCTCCTTACTGCAGCAGCTGCAGCACTACGAGTCTCCATTTCTCTCTCTCTTCAGTCTATAGCTCCCTTGGGAGAACTGGAAATCCCCTGTACAGTGCATGGCTTTCACTGAAAATAGCCGGGAAAACAACATTTCTGGAGCCTTATCCCACTAAAAATATTTTTGTTTGTTTCTTCTTTGCATCTCCTATTTTTCCCTGGTCAACAAGGGCTGCACCCAAGCAGCCACCTGCATTCCATATCCATCATGTGGAATGGCCATAAACATCACCGCAGACCCTGGTAGTTTGGTGGAAATGAGACCAAGTGCCAAACCCCTCTGCCCTTCCCACCAGCACCCTCCAGCAGTATGGGCTGGGAGGTCTCCAGTGCAGGATTTCTCTCCTCATCTACCCCAGTGACTGACAGCAGCAACAAGGAGCCTCTGGGGCAGAGGATGGGGAGGGCGGCTGGGGAGCCGAGTCTCCTGGGCCAAGCTCCAGTCTGCTCCAGGGAATGTGCTAATTTTCACTCCTTTGTAGTCCTTTATCTCAGCCCTTCGACCTTGAGCTCGCAGGCATTATCAGCCTTAGCCAGAAAGGCAGCGTGGAGTTAACCAGCTGAATGCTGGACACATCTGGTACTAAGTCCTGAAGGTAAAAGCACAAGGAACTTCCTTCCATAGCGTGGCAAGTGAGAGGACTTTTCAAGTTTTTATGATACTAGGAAAAATATTTTGTACTGAATGGATGATTTTGTGAACCGCAGCCGTTTTCAAAGTTTGTATGCCCCTACAAAGATCCTGCGGTATGTAGAGACCTCCTGTAAGAACGTATCTGGTGTGCATTGCTATTTGGTGTGTATGAATGTGGGTTTCTTAGTCGCCTTTTCATCCTAACCTGAACCAAATCATTGATATCCAGAGCAGAGGTAGAAGATTATTAGTCTCATGCTTTCTGTGGAGTCCCTCCTATCATGGTAATGCTTAAATCTTCGACTTTACAAAGTATTATACAAACCCTTACAATAGTAAAACAGAAAAGGTAAATACCTGGAGCAGTCTGGGTTAATGTATTGTCAGGTCTGCTGCTGACTTCCCTGTGTGACTCTGGGCATGTCATTTAACCTGTGTGTCCCTTTCCTGTTTACAGAATGAGCAAAGAATACTTCAGTGGCCACGGTGGCTATTAAAGAGTTATGAACGTGCTTATGTACGTGTGTGTCTTGTTTGGCAGGATCAGCTTCTCTGTCTTTGGAGCTTGACAAATAATGCATAAGAAAAATAATTCCTTTTCCTTACTGGGGGTGAGTGGTCTCTCCATGAGCAGCAGTAAGTGGGCAGAAGCAGACTTTTTTTTTGGAATATTCCTGCTTAAACAGTTCAGTGTTCATGGAGTTAATTTGCTCATGCCTTCAGATTGTTTTGTTTCCAGGGATTCTAAACCCTTGCCTCCAGCTGTTCATTTCCATTGAACTAGGGTGATCTTTATCTGTCTAAACTAGTTAAAACCTGCTCCACTACCCGGCAGCTTTTTTGGAGGCAGCCCAATAAAGCCGAGTGCGGTGGCTATGACACCGAAGCCTCCTGGACATCATGAATTCCAAGCCCTACTCTTTTTCTGACCTCTTACTGCTGGAACATCCCTCCTGGTTTAATGTGACTCTTCACTTCCTCCACAGCTCCATTTAATCCCTGTCCAAAAAGGGAATGATATTTGCATTGTAAGTGCCCAGTGAAGAGTCCCTTTTAGACTAAATTACTGCTTTAGTATTAGCAAATTAAGCCTTGACATAACCTCAAAGGAACTGTTTGAAAAACCAAAGCACGGCTAGACTTGCACTTCAACTCTGCTCAGTGTGCACGGTGCTTGGGATGTTTCAGTTGAAGCAATTTTTAAAATGTGCTCATTTAAAGCTTGCTATGACGTGGTGGGACTTGTAATACCTTTGGGGTCAACAGGGCCACTTCCTCTTCAAACATGAGATGGGAAAGTTTTTGTCTTGAGCAGATGAGATGCAGGTTTGTGAAGCTGATGAGACAGCCACCAGATGTACCAAAGAATGTTGCCTGTGATGAGATCCAAATGTCTTGCATGCATCAGGCAAAGATGCTGTCTGTACAAGAGGGAGTTGCCAACACCAGCAGAAGTGTCTGTTGTTGGTAGTACTGCCACCGGGACCGTAGCTAGAATGTGTACGCTGACGTAGAAACACCTTCTCTTGGTGCTGGGGTTTCTAGCAGCACGCTGGTTTGGCCATTCTGAACAGGAATATGTGACACAAGGGTTAAAATGCTAATGGGCAATTTGTAGTTTAGGCTCTTCCTTCTACTACCACTACCCTTAGCAGCAGTGGGAAAATTTGTGGCCAGAAAACCTCTGGTGAAGACACAGGCTGAGCTTTACTTTGGAATGTGCGAAGGGGACATTTTCCTGTTTCGGTGCAGATGTTATTGGCCCGGCTGGCTGGGGAGTCAGCGAGGCCAAGGGAGTGTCGGGAGGTAGCGGCCCCGCTCTCGCAGCAAACAGCTGGACCAGTTCAGATCCCAACGCCCGTGTCTCTGTGGGAAGGCTGTGGAGTCACTTCTGTGCTAAACCACCTCACAGCAATTATCAGACTATCGAAGGAGGGAAAAGGTCTGAGAAAAAGACCAGTTTAACACGGCCTTCAGCAGCTGTGGGTTATGCTATTGTTACTAATAACCTTTTAAACTTGGCGAGCGATGTTTTCTTGGCGTCATTCAAACATAATGACTGGGGGGTCGAATTCTGCTTTTGGCTGTGTAAATATGGAATCATTCTCCTGGTTGTCTGGTGTTATTTTGCATTTGGCTCACGGTCCCTGCCCCTAGAAGCCTGCAATCTGTAAAGTACCTGGGCCCAGTTGTTACTCAAAGCGTACAATAAACAGATGAAGAACTACTATCAAATACATGCAATACAATTATGGTTCTGTTGTGCTCTGGCTGAGGTTGATGGATTATTCCTGTAGAAATGAGGGGAAGCATTTGCTTGTTACTTTCCACGTGTAATGCACCAGAATCACAGAATGCTTGGAAAGGCTTTCAGGAAAATGTGTTTTAAAAGGGGTTTTGAATAGACAAAAATTTTAATGGGGATGAACAAGAATCATTGAACAAGTTAGGTGTTGCTTAAAGTGACAAAGTCTGCTTTAATGGTAAGAAGAAAGGGAGACCTTGGCAAATCTATGAGGATGTTGGAACTGCCAGTTCCCTTTCAACCTCCACTACACAAGCGGCTAAGACTCTTTTTAGTAAGATTCAGTGGGTTTATATGGTAAATAAATTTATCTTGATTTCATCTCTCTTTTCTGGCATGGTCTCTACAAAGTTCTCAGCAGTGAAGTGACTAATTGCACTTCTCCTTTTCAGGGATCTTCCAGATAATCCCGCTGTTGAATGGGACACACAGCTCCTCGCTGCCTTTGTGCTAAAGCATGTAGAAGCCAATAACATCAACCTGGTAACGTAAAACTTTCTACAGCATAAGCAATTTTCACATTACTTTTGAGCTCATGTTCTAGGCTTTTTCCTTCCCTCTCAAAAGCTTACTTTGAAGTCTTTAGGATTTTGATTCTCGAGTCTCTGTGAAATAGTGTAGGGTGGGGAGGGAGTATACGTACTCATTTTTAAAAAATTGCTTTATAATGTCTATCCATTTCTCTAGCTAAATCTTATGAAGCTTCTTTTACTTCACAGAAGTAAAAGCTTCAAATTGGTTAAAAACTGCAAACTGTTGGAACTAGGAAGTTGCACTCTAATAGATCTTGGGGTTCATTAATTGTAGAAGACTCTCTGCATAAGCCCAGCTGAATTTCAGATCTAAAATGGTACCTGAAAGCAATTTTGTGTTTTGTAGTTTAAGACTTCTTGTATTTGTACAGCTCCTGTGCCTTGACAAGTGTGACATAGTCATTCTGATGCTCTTTCAAAAACTTCAGACAACTGCTAGAAGTCCAGAACAAACAGCATTGCTCCACTGACAAATACGGAAAACGATGATGGTGTAGTTTGATGTATCTTTTCTCTCTGGAGATGTTTCTTTGCTTCCCAGTGAGAAATGGACAGTGCAGGAATTCTGCTTTACTAAGTCCTCAGCTGTTTTCTGTATTTTAAAGCAAACATTTTGCCCCTGTTGCTGCATTTCACTGATGAAGAGAGCCCTTCTGGGATTTAGGCTTAGGTTTAGACTTAGATTTGAAGTACATTGGCAGGTGTGTGTTAGAGAGCTGGATTAGGAGGCCTATAGGTCTAGATTGAAGAATATTAAACTGGGGAGATTTCCTAGCACTGGTGTAGGGTTTTTTTTTTTGTTTTTTTCCCCCCCAGAACAGAAATAAGAGCGTAAGCATGGAA